GGCTTGTTTTACAACGTCGTTGCCAATCGACGAAAACCCAACCCCGACGGCAAACACCGGGGGGGGCGGCTTGTTTTACAACGTCGTTGCCAAGCGACGAAAACCCAACCCCGATGGTAAAACACCGGGGGGGGCGGCTTGTTTTACAACGTCGTTGCCAAGCGACGAAAACCCAACCCCGATGGCAAACACCGGGGGAAGGGGCGGGGGGGGTATACTCATGTTTTGCATGCCTTGTTTTTTAGACCATTTACACACAGAGGAGAGTATGCTACCGCCGTGAACACGAAAGTAACGCTTGAATTTTTGGAGGGCGAGGCAGGCAGAAGAGCAGCAATCTTGGTTGGATGTTGTTGGGCGAGGTGTTCGAGACGAGAAGCAAGTCAAAGCCGGGGTCCTTTTTTTCGAAAAATCGGTCTCAAAGACTTCACAGCAGGAGCATCATACAGCAGTGCCAGTTTGGCCAGCCAGCAAACTGTCCGGCAGCGGAGGCCTCTCGTGTTTCGGGACAAGGGTTACAACGCGTTTTCCGACCGTCTCGCGAAAAGCCGTACAATACGGAGTTGGAAGTTGTGCTGCAGGAATCCGTAGGAGGAATGGCGGCGCTAAGTGGTGTGACTGAGAAGTCGGCCTGGTACGAGAATCGGGATCAACGACATAAGGCACGCCGCCCCTTCCCTCGATCCCACAGACACAGGCAAGCAACACATCACAGCCACAGGCAAGCAACACATGTTTAACATGTAAATATGAATCCTTATTTTTTCTCCGCTCTCTCCAGGACGCGTGGTGGTCAGTGGTCTACCCCCCGAAAGCCATGCAAAACATGAGTATGATGGCCCCCCGGTTCCCCTCTGTAATCCCCACTCCCCCCCCCTGTGGCTGCGTGCCGTGCTTCGCGAGCAGGTGCTGCGGTGCACTGGTACGGCAAGGCGGAGGCAAGGGCAGGGCGCAAGATGGCCCACGTCACCTTCTGCGCAGACACGATGGAGGAGCTCCGGCGAAAGGTGATGCTGCGGTGTCGGTGTTTTCGGAGTTGGGGGCGGGCGCCCCCTCGACGGCAGCAGTGGTCTCCTTCGATGTTTCAGCTGTATCCCTTTCGCCTGCAGCTTGTGTTTCGTCCCGTCTTTTGTGGCTGCTTATCTTTCGCGGTGTTCCCCCTACCATCCTGTCGACGCAAGTGAAAGTGGGGCTTCGATCTGGGCGTCACGCAGACAAAAATTCCTCTTTGTGGCGCGTGTCCCAAGTCTTTGTTAACACCGCGAGGGGCTCAACAGCAGTACCTTCCCTTCCCTTAAGTGCGCTCACGAAGAAGAGGAAGAAGGAGCGCACTTCTGCTGCCACATGTGCAGGCACCAATCGCGCGACGACCTTGTGGTGGGCGATTTTGCAAACCCTGTCCGTTTTTTTTTTGTGCCTGACCTGAATGGTGGGGGACGGTACTGCTGTGTCGTTCGCTGCTGCTGCGTTCACGTTCTCGAATAACAGGTGGCTCCGTTTGGACTGCTTCCGGGACCCACGGCAGCGGCGGCGGCGGAGGAGGCAGGAGCAGCAGGAGGCGAGGAGGCGGGTGGGAGTCGGCGGCCCCTTGTTAGCGTTATCATGGGCAGCGACTCCGACCTGCCGACGATGAAGGCGTCGGCAGACATCCTCGAGACGTTCGGGGTGCCGTACGAGCTGACGATCGTCTCCGCTCACCGGACACCGGCAAGAATGACGGCGTTTGCCACGGTGAGATATGACAAGGAGCGCGCGCGCGGCGGGGGGTGTACTCATGTACACGCACGCGATTTGTCGTTGGACAGCCAGAGAGTGGAGGGGGACTGGGGACAAAAGAGCAGGCGTGCACTCATCAAATAGCTTCCCAGGCGATTTGTGGTCCGCTTGGGGTCTCGCCAAGTACCCCGCCCTTTCACGGACGGTAGTTGCTCTTCTTTTTTTTTTCATCCCTTGAACCAGTCGAGCCTGCAAGAAGCCTTCTCTCTTCAAATCAATCTCTTGCCCTCTAATCGTCTGCGTCGTTTTTTCCTCCCCTTCGTCCACACCCCACGTCGACCACCCCCGCACTGCCCCTTTTCCCGCTGCCCTCAGGGGGCGGCATCGAGGGGGATCCGCGTTGTCATCGCGGGCGCGGGCGGGGCGGCGCACCTGCCCGGCATGGTAGCCGCCATGACCCCGCTGCCGGTGATTGGCGTCCCCGTCAAGACCTCGACGCTGAGCGGGGTGGACTCCCTCCACAGCATCGTCCAGATGCCCCGTGGGGTGCCGGTGGCCACGGTCGGGATCGGCAACGCTACCAACGCAGGGCTGCTAGCGGTGCGGATGCTCGCCTCGGGGGGAGGGGAGGCGTCTCCGGCGACGGGCCCCCCCGGCGAAGGGGGGGGCGGGGGGGTGGAGGGGTCGCCGCTCCTGCGAGCCATGGACGAGTACATGGCGCGGTCCGGCAAGGAGGTCGAGGAGAAGGCGCTGAAGATGGAGGAGCAGGGCTGGAAGGCGTATCTCAGCGCTAAGATTGACAAGAGTACCACCGTCGGTGTTTGACTTCACGGGGCTGCGAGGGGGAGGCGTGGGGGTTGTTTTGGGGTGTGTGTAGATGATAACTTTTTTTTTTTTTGCGAATACAGTACGAGCACTGCTGCGTAGAGAGGGAGGTCGATAGGTTGCGGGAAATGAAGGACACATTTTCGTCTCCCGGCTGCCGAGGCAAAGTCGTCCTTGTCATTGTGGCGTGTTCGTGTACTTCGCTTTCGGAGTTGAGATTTGGGAGAGAAACATTGAAATCACGTTTCGGCCCTTCCGCTGCTTTCGAAAGGAGGAGGAGGAGGAGGAGGAGGAGGAGGAGAGAGCTTGGGTAGCAGAAACAGATATTGTGATGTGGTACTAGTCAACCTGCCAAGCTTGACGAGTGTGCGCCCTTCAAGGGGAGCTTTGAGGGAGGTGACGGGGCGTGTCACACGCACACCCGCACCTCCTGGGACAGGGCATCCGGCCGGTGCCAGTGCTGGCGTTCCTCCACCTACCCGATGCTGGCGTGTTGGTCCTTACCGTCGTCGTCTTCGTGTTCGTCGTCATTACGCACGGGGTATACAGCACGGCCTCCGGCGAGGAGGGCCCGTGTAAGCAACACAGGCACGTATGGTACCACTCCCTTATACCGACGAGAAGACAACAGCCGAAATCGACCGGGCAGGGGTGCCTGCCGCTGAGCCGTGTGCATGACGGGTGCTACGGGTACGCGTTCTGCAGGCCTTTTCTCACGATAAAAAGGGAGAGTGGGGAGCGAGTGCGAGCTCCTTTATTGAGAGATGGCTCACGTGCTTTTGTACGTGGTATGAAGCCTCGCCAGCCCCGTTCCCGACCCCACCCCTCACTCGCAGTCTTGCTCAAACAAGCAAAATCGGGGAGTGCGTGCCGTGCTTTTCCCTGACACTGACGTCTTCTCATTTGCAGGCCGGTTGGCACGGTCGGTGTACTAACAAAACACAGAGAAAATGAGGGAGGGGGACGGACAGCACACAGTGATGTCTCGGGCTGCATGCGAGAAGCAAGGAGCGAAAAAAGAGGAACAAGACCCGGCGCCGTGCGTGGTTCTGGAGACAGACGCGTGGGTGGGAAACATGAGAGATCCCCTTGATCTTGATATACCGTGGTGCGTTCCCTACCCCATGCCTTGCTATGAATAGGTAGGGAAACGCCGCTCCCAAGAGGGTCCCCTCGGAGCAAATGACGGTACCCTCTGGCGGCAGACCGGCGATCAGACGACGATCTTTTCAACGCAGGCTTGTATTATCGCCGAGGCAAACGAATATTAAACACGCCACATGCTCTGTCATGACACACACAACACGTTTGCTATCTTACGGTTGCCGTCTTTATTCCAGAGAACAGCTTAGCCCCCCCCCATGACGCCTCCTCGCGGGGTCCCAGATCGTAGCATTTTCTGTTTTTCAGCCGCACTGAAACGAAGTTCATCTCATTGGCCGGTCGGTTAGCAAGCGACCGATGCATAAAACACAAAGGCACACCGACACGCGCTGACGAGACGACTCGAGATTCAGACGTGAAAGCATGACTCCGACGAAAAGAAACCCGCCCCCCACAATCAGCAAAACGGGGCGGGAGTCAATTCCTGCTGGCGCGCAGTACAATCTTCATCTTCAGTCGCATGCAACAGGTAGCCGCCAACACGCTTGTGTAGAAAATACTTCGAAAGAAGATATTACTCGTTCACCTGCCGGGAAGGAACGATCGCTTCACCGACCATCAACCTGGTAACACCTCCCGGCCGCCGCGTTGTCAAATGTCTTTTCTCGGGGGAACGGCACGACAAGGCCCGAACTACAGCAGTAGGACGATTGTTATCCCATCGAAAAAAAGTGCACAGCTCCCCCTAACCCCCCGTAGGACTTTCGCCCTCAACAGAAACCATGTTGGACCAGTCTGCACTCCAGCAACAAAATCCGACACGACCTCGATGAAGGGGTGGTCCACAACGTACAACAGAAGTGGTCCACAACGATACATCGCGGTCCAGAATACCGCTGTTCCCGACATATAGTACCGCGGAAACAGACCCTTGCTACAAAATTACTATTCACGGACCTTGCCCCAACAGCGTGGGTCCCGACGAAACACCGTGGATTATACCCTGTCACTACACCGCGATGTGGCGGGACAACTACTGTACCAGCATGGAAATAGCGCTCCAAGGGAAAACCAGACTACCACCATACACTCCAACCTTTCGCCATCATTCAGACTGCCTCCGTCTACAGCTCCATGCCCCAAAAAATGATCCGGAGTAGAATAGTAGACAATGAGAGGAGCACGTGAGCTCGAGGGCTACCCACGAAAGAGAGGGCGGCCATGGTGCGCGCTTCGTCACACGCACGACACGACAAGCGTGTGCCTGCAGAGTCAGGGCACCCAGCACCCCCTTTCAACCGGTCCGGGGAAAGACAAAACCCTTGCGCATGATGACGCCCTCTGCACCCACCCCCAGCCAAACGGGGCGGGATTTGTAGCGGCATTGCCCGTCCTCCTTACTTGAGCCGCAAAATGTTCTGCGATAGCAAGGCGTTTGTCAGCAGAGCGGGCAAGGGGAAGAGGAAAGAGTAACGTCGCGAGAGAGGTGGGGTTTGACAACAGCCGCGCACACATAAACGAAGGTACGACTCAGACGGCTTGTCACCTGGCATTTTTCATCTATTGGGGGGGGGCGCACCAGAATCACTGCTCACGGCTCGGGGGTAGACAGGCCAAAACCCATCCATGCGCACCCCCTAAACCCGAGCGGTAAGCGTCAAGTAGATATGCCACTACGCGATAAGAAGACAGCATGCAACCATGCTAAAACAAAAACAAAAACAAAAAACATTATTCTCCGCAACCCTTCAGCAGAGCAGTCAAGAGCGTAGGGATACCAACACATGCACACAAGCGCACCACCAACGGCGAAGACCGGAGAAAGGAACACGCACGCGAAATGCAGATTATGCCGCCGCGCAAAAAAAGCAAGGCTCCTCTCGGGAACGATTTCTCGATTCGGGCACGATTGGCACGGGAATCAGCGAACACGGTAATACACGATAACGTTTGGGTGGTAACTTGCCACCACGGTAATGCACGGTAATATTTGGGTGGTAAGCGCCCAGTACGGTAACTCCCGTACGGGAACTAGCCACCACGGTAATGCACGGTAGTATTTGGGTGGTCACTCGGCACCACGGTAATGCCGCGGTAGGGGACCGCCACGGTAATCCACCACGGTAATGCACGGTAGTATTTGGGTGGTCACTCGGCACCACGGTAATGCCGCGGTAGGGGACCGCCACGGTAATCCACCACGGTAATGCACGGTAACGTAGGATGGAAACACTCGACACAAAGCGGTGCACTGTAACTGTGTTGCGTTTTTTTTTTCAGTGCGCTTGACACCCAAACAGCGCGTTCCACAAAAAACACGAAACACACGAATGGAACCTATCGCAATTCGATTTTCAATTGTCTTCATTTTTGAATTGTTTTGAGACTACAGGCGAAACTCTCGCGGTCAAGATACCGACAGACGAGGCAAAAGGCAAAGGATAAAACAAACGGACTACATCATAACGTCCAGAGCGACACCTCGAAATATCCATCACGTGATCACTAACCATAGTCTATCTACCTCAGCTACGTGAGGACTGAAAACACCAAACTTATCTGCCAGACGACGATAAACCACCAGCTACCACGCACTTACACGCATGCATATCGAGCTCAACCACAAGCATAGCGTACCGTATCTGCATCACACCGCAGGCAAGCGGTTCAAACACAACAAACGAAAAAAAAAACACACACTTTACAGACGGCTAAGTTGGAAGCGACGCGCTGCAAAGCTCGTTCTTGGTGAACTTGATCGACTTCATAAGTCGCGAGGGAAGGGATTGTTGTACCCTTCTCGCGATAAAAATATCTCAGACAGGAACCGCCGGAGGGGATCCATCCCCCCCTCCAAAGTGGCCCCGGTTGGGTCGTCTAGCTAGTAGAAGTGGAGGAAGGATGGGGGCCAGAGGGGCAGACGACAGAGTCCAATCATAGAAAAAAGAAAAAAGAAAACGGCAATACTAAAAACCAATACATATTCAAAGAGTCAAGACACAGAAAAAAAGGCTTCCTTTCGTTTGATGGATCGATACATAACAAGAGAGATAAACTACACAGAAGAGCAAAAAGAAAGAAAAGGAGATGGTGCGGAGTCAAACCTGCCACGTACAGTGCTGCAAATGCGCAGACTATCCGCTCAGCTACGTGTACGGTAAAACATGTTTTGTTCCCGTACGGTACCGGGAATTCTACATCTTGCCGGGAATTGCTTGGGTGGTAACCAAAAGCCACGGGATTTCGACATTTTGCACGGTACTTGGTTGGGTGGGAACAACGGGATTTCATGTCCTTGGTAACGACTTGGATGGGAATGGGAGAAGGCCATTTGCTCGGCAACGCTTTCGATGGGTACGCGTAACCGGAAATGATCACGGTAACGTTACCAACTACCGTTCCCGTGGAAATTCCCGCGGGAAAAAAATTCCCGAGAGGAGCCTTAAACACCACCCCCACCAATTTGGCAACGTAGAAGGAACGATTGGCCATCGGTGATCGGTCCTGTGGGAACAATGCTCCGTCCTCTAGACGACGCGTGGTCAATGGTCTAACCGCTAGGGCATGCAACACACAAGAGCACCACCGCCAATTGCAGCAATCCAGACATCCACGACGAAGACGACGACGACGACATCGGTTGGCATTCACTACCTGCATTGGCACGACGTCCCTCTCGGCCCCGCCCTTGTATCTGACGATGCCGTCCTTTCCGTCGATCTTCTTCAGGATGCCCGTCTTGCCGTCGTTGCGGGACCCGATCACCATCACGGCGTCGCGCTGGGTGTTTGCAATGGGTGTGTGTGCATGCACAGGAGGCGTTTCGTTCGGGGGAGGGGGGGGGGTCAGGAGATTTGACATAAATAAAAAAAAAATATTGAGAAAGGCAGACAGGCAGAGAGAAAGGCAACATAGGCAGGCGGAGAGGGAGATGGCAACACAGACAGGAGGACCGAAAGACAGGCAGACAGACAGAAAGAGTGGGAGAGATAGAGAGAAAGAGACGGAGACACAGACTGGGGGAGGCGTGAGACCGAAAAGACGGCAAACCAGGCCATGCAACCCGCTGCATCAATCCATGCATGAGGACAACGACGACAACAACAACAATCAAGACCGCAGCAGCAACAGCAGCAGCAGCAGCAGCAGCAGCAGCGGCGGCATCAACAAAGGCACTCACGATCTGAGGAGCCAGCGGCCGCACTTCCTCCGGTCTCAAGGCACGGATACCGACGCCCTCGACCTCGACTGTCACCTCGCCCCCGACCTGCCGCGACTCCTGGACCACGTGTCCCTTGCGCCCGGTCGCGACCACTTGGACACACACACCGTTCTGCAAGCAAAAAAGGAGAAACACACCAAAAAGAAGATGTGCGCACAGCAACAGCTCAATAAATGTGGGTTCTCTGAGTATTTGCAATTTTCAGGTTTGGGGCCCAACACGCACACAAAACCCCCTCAGGGAAACAAAAGACAACATGTTGTTGAACCGAACGAAAAGCGAACATCCTGGTACATGTCATGCAGAGACGTTTCGTCCCGAAAAAGGTCAAAATAACGTCGAAGTACGTGCACCTTTTGCATGGACACACGGAAGGGTGGCAAAAACACAAGACAAGAAAGGCGTAAAAGTGAAAGCGGGGGTCCCTACAAACGCAAAATTAAGCGCGCAAACCCGTCCGGCACCATCACCACCACCATCGCCACCTCCTGCAATACCACCACCAGCAACACGCCCCCCCGCGCTCATCCAGCCTCTCAGCTGAGCGGCGGCGGCGGTAGCGGTAGAACACCGCAATCGCCGACACCAAAACACCACCAACTATTTTTGCAACCGAACAAACACCGACACCGACACCGACACCGACACCGACACAAACACCCACCCCAACAACAACAACACCGAAATACAGCTAGCAGAGCCAACCTCTCTCTCTCTCTCTCTCTCTCTCTCTCTCTCTCTCTCTCTCACCCTCATCCAGCCCGTGGGCGGCGGCGGCAGGCTGCGTACCGCCGTCGAGCCGGAGGCCTCCGAGCCCGACCACGCCGCCGGGGAGTACATCGAGCTCTGCTCCGGTAGAGGGGCGGTTACAGGAGTGCCGGCCGTGTCGTTCGCGCGCCGCCAGGTGAGAAACAACGCCACCCGAAAGACCAAACACAAGGGCGAGAATCGTCAGGCACTACCACGTGAGCCAGTCAAGCCACCGGGGAGCCAAGTTACTTGAGGCGTGATGATATGGTTGGGGGTTTGGGGTGTCGTCGGGGATGAGGCGTATCGAGGCTACAGCTGGCGGTGATACTCTGCAGTTGTGTGTGAGGTGTGCGTGCGTGTGAGTGCGGACGATGTAGGCCTGCTTGATGATGCTGTTTTTTCTTGCCTTACGCCCCCTACTGGTGTTGCTGAGCCCCCCCCCTCCCCCCCCTCCCTCTCTCCCTCTCTATAGCTGGCTCTGCTCTCATCGGCTCCAAGGCCGCTGTGTGCAACCCCGCGTTATCTCTCTGCCTCTACCTTTCTGTCGGCCAGCTCTCACTCTCCCGCTGTCGCCCTAGCCGACTCCTCCCCCATCTCTTCCAACACTCCTACTGCTGTGTATGTTTCTCCCACTTACCGGGGTGCAGGAGCCATTCTGAACGCTGCCGCCGCCGGGGCTGCTGCTCATGGGCGAGTAGCTCTCAGACTGCGGCGTACGCGAGCCCCCGTAACCTAGACAGCAAAAACAAACAGACAGCCAGAGATCCAGGAAATCAGAACGCAGGAATTGTTTACCCGCCCGCAGTATCTTGAAAGCTATTCCTTCTCGTCACCATGTTCCGCTTGCCGCTCCTACTACTACTACTCATGCTGCCACGAACACAACGCTACCCTCGCTGGCTGCTACTACTGCTGCTACGCAAGCACTGTAGCGGCACAGCAGCAGCTAAAAAAACAAATACTTCGTACAACTCACAACGACCCTTTGGACGGTCACAATAACCCTTTCAGCACACACACACACACACACACACACACACACCTCCTCTCCTTCCATAGCCGTCGGAGGAAGGGCTGTAAATGGAAGACCCCCCGTCGGCCGTCGGCGTCGGAGACGAGCTGTCCCAACTGCTCCTGGGTCACACATGAGAGTTTGACGAAGGTGTGATTGGGGAAATGAAGTGTCCCAATTGCTCCAGGGTCACACATGACAGATTCACGCGCGGGCGGGTGGTTTGTAAATATTGTATGTACCATGCACCATTGCCTGACACAGTAGTCTCTCGAGATAGAGACGGAAGGCGTGTGCCCTTCGGTGTTTTGTGTACCGTTCGCGGCATCGATATCCGATAGAGAAATGCACCATCTCTTCCCCCACTATGCGAAACAATCTCTACACAACACACGGAAGGTAAACAAAATACCCCATGCGAAACAATCTCCATAGATCACACCACAAGAAAACAAAATACCATGGTAAACAACCAGGGTCACACAAGAAAATACCCATCCCCTCTCGCCCCCTCGGATAACCTCTCCAAGCACACGACTAAAAGAGACGACGCCGGGGATCAACCGAACGTAGTTTCGACAGACCAAACACAACCTCCCGATACCACTGTCCAGAGGATGAACGGGCACATCGATATTTCCATCTTCCAAAAAAAAAAAGGAGCATAAAAAATGTCGTGATCAACAAAACTACACGCTGTGCCCCCCCCCCCCCCCCCCCCCCCCCCCCCCCCCCCCCCCCCCCCCCCCCCCCCCCCCCCCCCC